AACTCAGATAAATATAGATTTCGTAGTTGCTCTTATTACTACAGCAGTCAGGCATCACTTGATGGGGATACAATCTCAGAAGAGCATCATTAGGCAATTTTGTCATTGTGAAAACCTCCTAGAGTGTGCACTTACACAAACCTAGATGGTACAGCATATTGCTCCTAGGCTACAAACCTGTACAGTCCTGAATGTCACCATCCTGAATACTGTGGGCAGTTGTAACACAATGAAAGCATTTGTGTATCCAAACATAGCTAAACATAGAAAAGGTCCAGGAAAAAATGTAATATTATAATCTTATGGGGACACCTTCATATCTGCAGTCCATGGTTAACTGCAGTGTCATTATGGCACATGACTGTAGTATCATCATCTATTAAAATCATGTTTCCATGGTTCAGAACTAAAAAAGCAAACAAACAAAACAAGAAACCATGTTACCTTCCTTCTCCAACTTTTCTTTATAAATTAGGAGATGTTATTTATCTACTTTTTATAGGTACTGTGAGAGTTACTATACAAAATTTTGGTGGAAAATGTGCTTGGCTTTATCGTGCTTTTCCTTCTTTCATTGTTTTTAATGAGAGCCAAAATCTTCTGTTGTGAGGCACCGAGATTTGTTTCTTCCCCAGTTTCATGGTAGTGCCTGCTCTAAATGGAGCCGACCCCCGTCTTCAAAGTCCTCTTCAGTCTTATCTGTAGCTGCCCACCTCTCTCTTGCTTTAGTTACAAGCCAAGAAAGCTGGCTGAAAAATCAGTCCAGACTGCCAATCAGAAAAACGAATCAAGTCACTCCTGACTGCTGCTAGGTCTGGTGGATGCAATGAGTGAGGAAATGCAGCACAGTCTATGTCCCCGTAGAGCTTATATTAAAGCAGAGAAACAAATGTTAAATTATTTTAAAAATAAGTAATTAGTTCTATTAGGAGAGGAAATCTCTATAAGGATAAATTTCAAGCTATGGTAAATGAGAGGGCCAAACCCATTCTTTGGCCATTAATTTGTCTTTCAGCCTCAGCTCAAATATCACCTCCTCCAAGAAGCCCTCTCTGACCTTCAAGCAAAGCAGTCACTCTCTAATCCATGTCCCACTTTATTTCCTTCATTCTAACTTTCACTACCTAAAATAACCTTGGTGTTGTAGTGTATGTTTATTGCCTACCTCCCTCTTTGAAAATGTAAACTCAAAGAGCTAAACCTCAATATATGATTTATTACTGTATCTCCAACACCTAGAAGAGTGTCCGGCATTTAATAGCTGCTAAAAAGTTTATGTTATATAAATGAATGGCTAAATGGACTAACTACAAAGAGGATCTTCTTTCTTTCAGGTCAGAATCTAACAAGTTGTGAATTTCACACACTGGCTAGTGTGTGTAGGAAGTGTGATGGAAATCGTTAGAATTTTCTTCATTCATTTCAACTCAATTCAATCCAGCATGTACTTATCAAACTCCTATTATGCTTCAGGCTGCAAACTTTGATCTCAGAATGCAGCAGAAAAAAAAGTCAAATTTTTACCCTCCTGCAACTTAGAGTCTGGCCAGGGCATCAGATACTAAACAGCAAGTATTAAAGAATTCTTAGCACTTTACTAGATTATCTCATTTAATCCTCACAGCAGCTCAGCAGCTGTATATGTTAGGAATGGTTATTATACCCAAAGAAGAGAGGAGTAGGCTTTGGTGTTTTTTTGTTTGTTTTTGACAGTCTCACTCCGTCACCAAGGCTGGAGTGCAGTAATGTGAACATGGCTCACGGTAGCCTGAACCTCCCAGGCTCAAGTGATCCTCCTGCTTCAGCCCCTCAAGTAGCAGGGACTATAGGTGGGTAACACCATGCCTGGATAACTTTCTGTATAGTTTTTAGAGATCAGTTTTCACTCTCTTGCCCAGGCTGGTCTTAAACTCCCTAGTTCAAGTGATTTGCCCACTTTGGCCTCCAGAATGCTGGTATTAGAGGGGTGAGCCACCACACCCAGCTGAGAGTAGGTATTTTATCTGTCATATTTACTATTGATCCTTTAGCACCGTGCCTGGCCTAACTAGGTGCTCAATACATATGCTCAATAATGAACGGATATTTTAAAAGAGGAAGCTCGTGTGGGGGGAGTCTGTAGAAGGGGGATTTGATCCAGTCTGAGGCATCAAGAAACCTCTCCCTGAAGTCTTGGCACTTCATTGAAGATTTAAAGAATGAGTAGGAATTTACTTTGCTTTGACTTAAGAGTAAAAACCTAGGTGGGCTCATCCTGATTGATATTAAATAAGTGAATATTTTCCCTGTGATTTAGTTTCCTTCATAGTAAAATGAAAAAGTCTAATGATGAACCTTCCCCCAAAGGAGGTTATAAAAACATACCAAGAGAGAATTATCAGGGTAACTTTCCTGTAGACTTGGGATTCAGTGAGAGGAGGCAACAGGACTGGAGCCAGTGAGGACAGGCAGTTAGGAGACTCCAAGTCCGTTGGCCCCAAGGCAGGGGCTCCAGCTGGACTTGGCAGGGCAGGAATGATTGCTTCTGTTCTCCCAAGAGGTCAGTCTGAAGAAAAGCTTAGAGCAGCCTCGTCCAGAGCACAGCACTCAAGAAACTTCCAATTAATTGCTTTTTTGCTACTAAGTGTCAGAACCTGACATGTGGAAATCATCTGGTGAAACTCTTATCTCTGGACTCTGCTCTGCCAGACTCAAGGGCCTTCTCACATGGCACCTAAATGGGTCACTTTTATCTTTCCTTCCTCCGAGACTCCTGGTTTCCCTTTCAGAGACCTCTTTCTGCTCTTGGGCTCTCCCTTCAGAAACCTCTGCCATTGCCTTAGATTCTCTCTTCTCCTCATAATGACACCGCTCCTCTCCTGGTAACCCTGCTCTTATCTATGACGTCAGTTGCATCAGAGACTAATGCCACTTACAGAGGTAATGACTGCTAACTCTTCATTTGCTATGCCTCCCAGTAAGATAATTGCCTTTCGACAGTTTTTTTTCTTTATTTTTTATTTTTTGTAAATAATGCCTAATGCAAAAGCATGGATCTCTTAACACTGACCCTTTGGGGCCTTATAATCCCAAAGAATCTGTTCATATCCTCTTCCTGCTCTCATAGCCCATATGCGGCTATATTAAAACAGTTCATTAGTCTCTCTTTTTTCTAGAATATGTACTTCTTTAGAGCAGGGGTGGTAACTCACATCCTATGTCTCCATCACTCAGCCTCATGCCTGATACATAATCAGGTGACAACAAACTGCTGGATACATGATTTAGGACAAGGGGTTTGGAAAACTTACCCAAACTTGTCAAGCTAGAGCGTGCAATTAAATATCTTACTCCAGAGGTTCTCAAATTTAAAGAAAGAATCACTTTTCATCCCCAGAGAATCTGGATCTATTGGCTTGCGGGCTGTGAAATCTGCATTCTTCACTAGCTCATCAGATGATTCTAGTGCGGAAATATGGGATCTCCTTTTGACAAATTATTATATCCCCTCAGCCTGTTTTCTCTTCTGTAAAATGGGATTGTTGAGAGAATAAAGAGAAAAAAAGCACACTGAAACAGTTCAAATGGTGCAGTGCAAAATACCTGCATCAGATTCACCTGTCCAAAGAAACTTCAAATTTGTTCTGTTTGCCTCTTGCTCATTCTGCCTATGGGTAGGTAAGTACCGAGACCTTACGCTAAATCAGTCATTTTAGATTTGAACTGAAAAGACATTTTCAATTGAGGTCAAGAGGTATTGGTTGGTTTGGAGTGGTCTATTTGGGACTTGGGTTCTAGTCCCATTATTCTTTTGCTTCTACTGGAGACGACAGTATTTTGTTTGTTTTGTTTTGTTTTGTTTTTGTTTTTGTTTTTTTTGAGTTCTTTGAAAATAACTATGGCCAGCATCTTCAGTGAGTATTTTTTTCATATAATTACTCGGGAAGTAATTAATGAGTGCCTACTATTGACTTAGAAAGTATTTGCTAAGTGTCTACCATTTATTTAAAGCTGAAATACACAATTAAAGTTGAAGCATGTTTATCCACAAATTCCATAATGCCTTTATTTGAATGATCTATTCCAGCTTTGTGATAGGCTCAAATCCACTTCATTTGTGCTATAAAGGACCTTCACACGCACATAAAAAGTTTAAAATATCTTCCAGAAGCTCTACCCATATATATTGATTTATCCATTCACCCATTCACTTACTCAATAATATTTACTATCTACTTTGTGCAGGCACTGGGTGAGGCAGTAGAGATATAAAGATGAATTAAACATTGATCTCTCCCTCAAGAGTTTACACTTTCATTATTTTGATAAGATAGCTAAGTAAATAAAGTAATATGTTGTAATTAAGGGCTGGTACAACTATTATAGACAATAGTAATTAAACTTAGGAACCACTTACAACGTGCTAGACACGGAGCTAAACCCTTTATATGAACTATTCTACTACGTCCTCAATAGTATCATTTGAGATTCTATTATTATCCTTGTTAGGCCTGTAGTGAGGCTAAAATAGGTTAAGAAGTTGCCCAAAATCACACAGTAAGTCTGTCAAAGGCAGGATTAAACCCTGGCTGTCTAACTGCAGCATCACTCCCCTTAAGCACATCCCTCTTCAGCTACTCTTAGGTGGGTGTCTGGCTCTGAGAAGGCCAACAGCAGCAACATCGGTAGTTTATCACGTGCCTTCAGTGCGCCTGATCTCTATGCTTATTGTCTCACTTCTTTCAAGAATCCATGAGGAAAACTTTGTCATTGTTCCCGTTTTATAGATGGAGAAACTGAGGTGCACAGTGCTAAAGTTTTGCTCATTTCTACCCAGCCGCCAAGTGAATGCACTGGGATGCAAACTGTTGGGGTCAAATTGACCCGAAAGCCCACAGGGTTTCTACTCTCTCATTGCTGGCTGGAGGTTAGAAATGAAGTATCTCTTAGGAAGACACTCCTGGATATACTCTTCTGACACAAGTTTGAAATTACCCACACAAACAAAGCAGACCGCTTACCATGTGTGTACCTATGCAACAATCTTGCATGTTCTTCACATGTACCCCAGAACCTAAAATGCAATAAAAAAAATAAATAAACAGCATCTTACTTAGGATGGCCCTACCTTGCCAAGTCCCTGGGTCTCAGGAGGTTATATGTTTACTGCAGAATTAAATGGCCTGGCTCTGCCAGCAGTTTGTCATCATGTCATAATAGTCCAAAAGTCAGAGAGGTGGCATAGTGATGGGAGAATCAACCGACACAATCAAACAACTGTGTTTTTTCTCTCCCGGGCAGACCAGCACATTCCTCCAATGCTGAGATAAATATTTGTATAAGGAGGAGAGCCTATGAAGGCTTTAAAATTATTCTATCCAATTTTCAAGGCACACTTTTGTTTTTAATTTTATTTTTGAAAATCTTAGGGAAATGTTGGTTTTCTTTTATGGACATTTAAATCATTTCCTTGTGCCTCTGAATGCAGCACGAAGGACATTTGTCTCTTTCTCTTCGTTATATACAATAGTGTCTTTGACAGAACTTGTAAATCCCAAACTGAAGCCCTGTGCATTCTTGCCTTCCAGTGATAAGGTTTCCAAAGTCATTATTATTTCATGGGCCAAAACCAAACCAATTCCTTATCCCAAATTACTTATATTTGGTGGTTGGTCATGTCCTTAAATTATATTGGTCTCTTGGTCTCGGTCTCTCTCTCTCTCTCTCTCTCTCTCTCTCTCTCTCTCTCTCTCTCTCTCTCTCTCATACACACGCACATTTGAAATCTCAGTGAGAGTGTTGGTAAAGCTGTGTAATCCTTGGATCAACTTAGTTTTTCCATGTTTTTTATGCCATCAGGGCACATGGATTGATGAAGGGTCAGTTCCTTTGGGTTTAGTCTCTGTTCTTGCATTGTGGCTTTCTATCTGGAGAGTGAATAACTCAGAACTAAGTTACTGCTTCACTGTTAATGCTGGCAGGGGAAAAAGAAGCAGTAGTGGAGCACAGAATCTATCTGTGTTAGCCCTCTGTCACCGACTACTCAACCCAGCTTCTGGCTTCACCTAAATGATAAATGGTCCTATTGTCTGGGCTTTAGTATTTAAAGAAAATAGAACTAAATCTAGATTAAGCAAGGACAGAGACCTATTTCATTGCACTGTACTTTAATATTCCTGAGATCCATGGCATTACGGGTGGCTCCTTTTAACAGCCATCTCTCTCCAGGGCGGAACACTATGCTGTCTTTGTTTCATCTGATCTTTCAGCTAAATAAGAGATGGTCACTTATCCTCACTACTCCCATATCCTGCTGGATTTCTCTTGCGAAAAGAGAAACTCACCACACGGGAAAAGGTAGAGGTTTCAGGCAGAGCATTTCAGCGTGTGTTTACAGGCAGGACTGACTTACTCAGCAAATCCTGCTCGGAGGAGCTTCAGCCAATGAAGAGGCTATATCCCGGCTTGCTTGGGGGCTTCTGAGTTTGAGCTGCATGCAGAAATGTAAGGCAGTGCTTCCTGGCGCTGATGGCAAAATGGGACCCATCTCCAGTTATTCCTCTGGCACCACAGCTTTGCAGACCTGGGAAAGAGCCTACATAAACATATTGGTGATGTAGCCAGCTTAAAAGGCCGAGAGAATCCTTATGGATTCAGGAGACTGTTTTTTTATTTAGATTTTTATTTTTTATTTGGAAGATGAAATGCTTCTCTCGTTACCTGCCTTACATCTTCAGACCTGCGAACACCATCCTCTCTTCCAGCTGCCACACAGAAGGTACAGACCAGAGAGGGAGAGTGTCTGGGTGGGTGGGAAAAGTGGGCTGGTGTCTGACTTCCCACAGGTTCTGCTGATGCTGCTTTCTGTAGCTACTAGGTGACTGTCGTTCCTGGCAAAAGCTTGTATCCAACAGACTTAGATCTGCTTCTAAAACCAGTCTGTCTTGTACAAGAAAAGGAAAGTATTTTCTGAAGAGCAGAATAATGTTGCAAAGGTAATCTCAAAGCTGGCACGGCTAATTAGAAAATAACTCAGAAATATTTTGCCAATTTTTCTTGTTTCATTTAACATGCAAACAAGTCACTGGAACTAGTGTTAAGCAAAAAAAAAAACAAAAAAACATTAAGTAGGTGCTGCCACATACATCTGTCCGAGCTCTCTGTTTTGTCACTGTCTGTTTGATAATTTGGTGCGTGCCCAAGAAAGCAATTAGCAAAATAAAATTAGCTTAGTACATCACTGTGGAGTGTTGATTGTTGGATTGGCTCACTTGGATACTGTACTTGGGTTACAGAGCAGCAAGAACACAGCTGACTTTCAGCACTTACAGGAAATGTGGTTTGTGGGGGTCCTAAGTTAATGCTTTCAAGAGAGGTTGGGCTGAGCCTTGTACACATTCCCCAGTTCCTGTTTTCTCTGGGGACCTTCTCTGCTGCCTTCTAACCTAGCATGCTATGCATACGTGTGTGTGTGTGCCTTGTAAACATTCTGGCAATTCCCCTTCAACTAAGCATTGCAGAATTCAACGTTTCTATAGTCAGAAGCCAGTTGTATACTTTCTATATGTGAACTGCCTGTTTTTTTAAGATCCGACATATCTTAGAAAAAGAACAATTTCAAGAAATGCCACTGGTTGGACATTTTTCAGGCTTAAGGATTGTTCTACTAGTGGTACTTGATTGAAGAGGGTTGAGGATGGTGAGATGCTGTGACTTCACCTCATGTCCAGCCACAGTCTCTTGGAATTGAGCTGGTGACCAGCCTGTTCTGAAAACTCACCCTTGTTTTCATCCTCCAGGTAGAATCCTGAGACTGGAGGCTGTGTGTTTAAAATGAGGGAAGCATATATTATACCATAAGGTAATTTTTTATCAGTACCTTCAGGAAAGGTCGTAGACATTTGTACTCCCTTTCAAGTAGATCACCCTTGAATTGAGACTGAGGATGATATTTTTCATAGACATTGATATCTCACAGATTTTGATTACAGTTGGGTATTTCCATTTAAAAATTTATTGGTGGTAAAGGGAAATGACCCACTGATAAACCTTTTCTTCCTAGTGGAAAGAAACTAAGTCCTTATCCATATCAAGGGGAGGAGGGGATTGGAAGAATGGCATGGACCAAAATTTCCAGGAGAACTTTTCAAATGCTAGAGATCTAAAGCCATAGAGAAGCTGCCTAGATGACTTTAGCATTTCTGATTGGTTCTCCTGTCCTTTCCTGCCTGCTTAGACTTAGAAAATTTAAACACTTGGTTTACTCAGTTTCTGTCTTATGTATTAATCAAACTAAACATCCTATATCATATAGAAAAAAAACCCACAACAAGATCTTGTAAAGCTGTTTTTGAAAATTAAATTTCACTGATTTATTTTATTAAAATGAAAACCCCATTTTGCTCCTGTCAAAACAATTTCCGCTTCACCCACTATCACCAGATTTCTGGGTGGGAAGATAGAAAGGCATGTATTTAAATTTGTGGTAAACCTAGTAAAGACAGTGGGTAAAAAAAAAATAGCATTTATCAAACATTAACTTCATGGAAGAGGCTCCGGGACATAGTGGAAAAGACAGGAGTTATGTACCAAGGTACCAAGCAAGCAGCGTCGGGTCACTTAATTGCTCTATGACCAGTTTTATCTATAACACAGATGTAGAGATGAAATGTAACCATTAAGTAGAGTTCTTTGTAATGCTCTGTACACGATAGGTGCTGTCTATTTTTGAGTCTCATGCCCCATGTGTTTTCTTAGATATTGAGCTTTGCTTTATTTATCACATTATCTTAAGCAATGAGTGGTATCTTCAAACGCATCACTGTGTCACGAGAAACTAGTTGCTCTTACTTAAAGTTTGTCCGAGGAGAAAAACATACCAGGATACACCTGAGGCTGTGTGTGTGTGTGTGTGTGTGTGTGTTCATATTGTTGGCAATTGTGTTACCCTTTAGTCTATTACAGAAAAAAAAATATGGCTGTGAACTTCATATTTCGTAATTTGAAAAAGTGGAGAATGAATAATGTGTGACTATCTCTGTGAAAGCCAAATAAATATGAATAACCCAATCTCTTTAGAGACTGGGTTTCTCTAGAGAAACTCTAGAAGAAATTTAAGAGCTTCAATAATTTCTGGGCTTCTTTGGGGATAGTACCATCCTAATTAGAAAACTTGGCTTGTCTTCCCAACTGCTCTTTGACATTTTTTTTTGTTTGTTTTTGTTGTTGTTGTTGTTGTTAATGCAGGAAAACCCTGGGCTTTGAATCTTAGCTCTGTCACATGTCAACTGAAAGATATTGAGGAGTTATTTAACCTCTCTGAGCCTTAGTTTCCTCATTTGTAAAATATAGGTAACAGTACTCCACAGGATGGTTGCAAAAACATACATTCAAAATAACATAGCAAGGTGATAATAACAATCCTAACAACCAGCCTTCACTTGTATTTAGTGTACCAAAGGCATTAGCTAAGCACATCGTATATAGTAACACATTTGTATATAGGGTAAATCAACAATATGTGAGCCCTCAAGCCTGCGTTTTCATCCATTAGATGGAGATTTGGTTCTCCATGTAGCAGTCAGAATGATTTTTTAATTATGATTATCTGACCACCCCACACTCTAAAACACAAACACTCACATTTAAAATGTCTCTATGGTTTCTGTGGCCTGCAGGGCCCCACATATTCTGACTTTCCTGCCTTACATCAAACATACTCCATCTCACCTGGCCTCCAGACACACAGGTCTTCTTTGGTCCCTCAACATTCCCCCTCCCACCGTAAACTTTTGGGCTGCGTCTCTTTTCCTTCTGCCCCATTGCCTTGTTAATTCCAAGCTTCAACTCTCAGCTCAAGCTGAGAAGCCATCCTGACCCTCAGCTGATCACAGCTCTTAAAAAACTGGGTTTCTTTCCTGCAAAGCACTAACTCTAATTTGTCATTATGGATAAACCAATGTGACTGTTTTGTTAGTCTCTGCCTCTCTGCTGCACTGGAAGCACGACCCATGTGTAACTGTTGTACCTCCAGAACTAGAACAATACCAGGACATTACAGGCACTTAGTACATTTTTGTGGAATGAAAGATGACAAATACCAAGGCTGTTGTATGGATAAATTTCCAAAACCATATGTGAAAAATATTCTGAAGAGCATTCACTCCTACGTGCCTGAAAATCATTTTAATCACTGTGGCTTGGGGCGCTTTCTGTAACCGTACTTTAAGAGACTAGTTTTATTGCAGTGTTCTTTAACTTGAAATAAGAGGATACGAACAGAAGCCAGGACAACCAAATAATGCAGATCCATAATCAGGGTTTTGAGAAGACCTTTGGACTGTCTTCCCTTCTCTGTAGACCTCATTAAGGAAGCACATAACTCTTTCCCCTTTATAGGGGAGGATTCATCCACAAAAGTGGCATCTGAATTGGAGAAACAAAATTCCAATTATAGCTGTAAATAAGCCATTCAAGACAGGATAGAAGGGAAGCAAAAACCCAAAGGAATGAGAGAATCAGTGAAGTATAAGGAACCTTTCCTGATACTTTTTGGTGGACCTAATTTGTCACCAGGCACTGGAGGGCCTGTTTCTCTTATCTAACAAATCAGTAAGGACACTTTATTCTCCTAAAGGGACAAGTGTAGTGTGACTTGCCACGTGCTTCTTCAGATAAAATGAGATAAAATTGTCTTTATCTCATTTCCATGCTGCAAATCTCTCCCCATGCTTGACAACTCAGCTTGAGTCAAGTCTTTCTAGGAAGACGTCTTCAACATCTCCAAAAATGAAATTGTTATTATGAGTCACACAAACCACAAGGACAGTGCAAAGAAGAAATAAGAAGCAGCAGCTTCAGCGCCATGAACCCTGTGGACCACTGGCTGTGTGCTAAGGGCTGTGTCTGTGCCATCTTTGGCTCCTCACAAGTCTTTCTTATTAAATGCCATTATCTCCATGTTACAGATGAGGAAACTGACTCAGATGCAACTTACTCAGAACAACAGCTAGTGAAGTGGTAGAGCCAAGACGCAAGTCCAAACTCTCTGAATTCAAAATTGGTACTCTTAATTTTTATCACACTGCACATTTCCTTTTGAGTGTGAGAACAGCCTTCAGATTACATATTGCAACAGCCAATTTACATGCCTGTCTCCTGCATGGCCAGGAGCAACTTGGGTTCAGGAATTCTGCCTTATTTATCTTTGGTTTTTGCATCCTGGTTTAGTACAGAGCTTGACTCTGAGTAGATGCTCAAGAAATCCTTCTTAAATAAAGGACTGAATGGGAGATTGAATAAGCAAACTGAACCATATTCTACCAACAATGCTCCTTCAAGAGAAGAATCTATTTTAAAGCAAGTATCTTCCAGTGACACCCAAAAGCAGGTTTGCTGGAAGTCTACATACACACAGAGGGAAAAATAACATTGTATTTTTCTAACTCTTTGTTATATCATAAATAATAATCATTACACAAGAATAAGTAAAACATATGATACATACTATTTGCTAGGCACAATTTCACCATGTGTGTATGTC